CGGGCCTTAGGTTGCCTACCCCTGGTCTGGCTGGTATTTTGCGAGGCTCCAGCATTTTGTGGCTCAGGAGGTCATAACAGCACCAGAGCTTGAAAAAAAGTTATTGTTTTGGACTACAGCTCCCAGAATCCTCTCCACATGGTCATCCCCCCCTCCACGCACAGCATGACCATCTTGGCTGGTTGTCCAAAGAAAGTACCAGACTTTGTGTTGTTGTTGCTCTGTGCCTTCAAGTCATTTCTGACTTAAGGCAACCCTAAGGTGAACATATCATAGGGTTTTCTTAGCAAGATTTGTTCAGAGGAGGTTTGCTATTTCTTTCTCCCAAGGCTGAGAGAGTGTGACATGCCCAAGGTCACCCTGGGGTTTCCATGGCTGAGCAGGGATTTGAAACCTGGTCATCAGAGTTGTAGTCCAGTACTCAAACCACTACACCATGCTGACTCTCAGACTTAACTTACGGATTTTCAAAAATGTGAAGAATGTAAGAAGAATGAAGGGAAGAATGTAATAATGAAATTACAGAAAGTAGAGAGAAATATGAATTTTTAAAAAAATGTTACTAAAAGTCTGAAACTTTTTCCATGGCTCAACTATCCATCCACCACTTTTCTTCCTTCAAATGTTCTAGATGTGTAGGGAATTTTCTTACCATCCAAGAAGTTTGATGCCGGTCCAGATTTTGCAATCCCTCCCTTTAAAAATATATAGACATGGATGTAAACTATCTGCCCCCTTTTCCTTTGTTAGTCTCAGTTACATATGTCTGTAGATCCTCATCTTAATTGTTTGGATCTTGATCTTTTTTTGTGAAGGCTTGGCTGAACTTTGCAAACCCTACCAAAGGGGGAACCCTTCCCTAAAATTCATTTCAGGACCAAGCCCCTTTGATGTCACAGCTGGCTCAAGTCATCTCATTTCCTCCTGCTCAAAATGTGAATCTGATGCAAAGTGTTGGCACAGTCTCTTTCCCTCCCTTCTCCCTGAAATATAGCCAAGTGCGCTGTTTTAGCCTGATGTTTGATTTGGCCTCCACTTATCCTGAACATCCAACTAGGCTTTGTTTTACTAGTAAGCTCTTGATGCTCATAGGTCCAGCCCCAGCCCCGAAAGGGACATCAACTTCTTTTGCCTTTTTCTTGCAGTATTAAAACAAAAATACTCCTCCATCTGTTTCCATTTTTGTCCATTATGGTTTCTACTCCACCCACTTCCAAAATTAGTACATCGCCTTCATGTTGCTCTGTATACTTTTTTTTAAAGTACATTCTTAGTTACATCAGAAGCAGAAATGGAAAGTAGGAGGTAGCCCAAGAGATTACATTGGAGTGGTTATGGAAAGTTACTTCCTTACTACAACAAGGCTGCTTACATGTTAGCCTCTTTTGCTGAAATTGACAGCTTCTGTTCAATTTTTTAAAAAGTGAAACTTCTGATGATGTTGTTGCCAGATTCCAATGCTTTCACTGCCATCCTGCTAGGATTTTTGGGATCTGAGTTGTAATAAAATGTAGTTGGAACA